ACCCAGATTCTTTGGACTCCCGTGCTTCCGGCACACCCTCTCCCCAGTCTTTGTGTGACTTACGCTTGACACACACCTTTGCGCAAACCCTCAGCTTCCAACATGCCTTCTCCTTTCAGTAGCTATTATTTACAAAAAGCCTATTAAGTGCCAGCTATTATATGTATGTTATTGCCTTTAATCCTCTAAAGAACTCCTAAGGGTAGGTATTTTAGGGATAAGGAAACAGAATCTCAGAGAGGCTAAATTACTTGTCTCTTGTCACATCAATAGAAAAGAAAAGGGCTGGAACTGAAGCTTTGGTCTGCCTGACTCCAAATGTCATGTTCTTTCATCACCTCACATTGATTCTGCATCTGGCAAATTCCTACACATCTATCAAGACCCATCGTAAATGCAGCCTCTTCAGGAAATCATCCCTGACCCTTTGAGGCGTTAACTCTTTCCTCTTCTGTATTCCCACTGTCCCTTTCATGTAATATTAGTTTGTGATGACCTGTTTATGTCTGCATCTTTCTCTCTAGGCAGTGAGCCCCCTGAAGGTGCGGCGGGCTGGGCTGTCCTCCACTGATCACAGTCTTGCCTCTTTCCCCAGAGATTAGGGCTCTGTGCATTTCATTTCAGATTCCAAACTAATTTAACTTGTTAGCCTATTTGTCCATGTATTTATGCTATTTACTATGAATCCAGTGAGCATGGAGTGAGGACAGTTCCAGTGGAGCTTAAGGTCAAGTTCAACCTTAGCAACACTGTGGACTCTACCTTTAGCCACTCCTTACCTCTTTTAACATTGCCCCCCAGGAGTCCTGTTCTGTTGCCCAGGCTGGAGTGCAGTGGAGCGATCTCAGCTCACTGCAATCTCTGCCTCCTGGGTTCAAGGGATTCTCCTGCCTCAGCTTCCCGAGTAGCTGGGACAGGCACATACCACCATGCCCCGCTAATTTTTTTATTTTTAGTAGAGACGGGTTTCATGTTGGCCAGGCTGGTATCGAACTCCTGATCATATGTGATTTGCCAGCCTCAGCCTCTCAAAGTGCTGGGATTACAGGCGTGAGCCACCTCGCCTGCTCTATCTGGCTGTTTCTTTCCACTGTTATTAGGAGCACTGGCTGAGAGACATTTACCTGGAGGGAGCCTGGAAGCCCCAGGTCCTCAGGGACCTGCATTGAATGCTAAAATCAGTAAGAGTGAAATTTCAGTTACCTGCACTTCGAGATGTGGTATGATTTTTGTGGTCTCTTTTTTCTATAGAACATATTAAAATTATATTGTATGATCATATTGGTATAAAGAGAAATATTATCAAGGGCAGATCATATTCTCGTGTTCTTCTATTTATTGTGGGAAGTAAGTTTCCTTTCTTGTTAAAGAATAAATCATAAGTGTGCTAATAACTCTGTTAAGCCCTATCCTATGTAGCTGTTAGATATGCTTATAGGCACATAGTATATTCTATGTCCTTGCACTGTAACCAAAATATCTGTGCTGGACGTGCTCACAGGCATGTCCCAGCTTGCAGCCTATGCCTCTTACCTGTTTAGTAAAGTTTTCAGCTAGCACTATGCCCTTGGCCCACAATACCAGTAGGGGCCTGCAAAAATGCTTTAACCTTTTTTAAATCAGAAGAGCAGGCTGGGCTCAGTGGCTCATACCTGTAATTCTAATTCATTTCAGTCAGATGTTTTGGCCTTGTAAAAGCTCCCGGAGGAAAGGGAGGGCCTGCCATGCATCCTGCTTCTTGAGTCCTAGAAAATTAACTGCTGAGATTGCGCACCCTTTGAGCAGGCTGTAAACCTGACACGTGGCCACTTACACAAGATTTCTGCTTCCTCATCCTCTCCAGGTAGCAGATGTCCCCTGTGCCCCCAAACTCCTGTGATGGCATCAAAGGAGCTGCTCCTGAAGTCCTCCAAGCAATTTCTGTGGACAGCAAGCATATCAGATAGCTTCAGAAGGGCTTGCCCCTCTCAGGGGCAATGATTGCAGTCATTGGGATAGGAATGGCCTTAGATAAAGGCCATTTTGTTCTTGAATGAAGAAGAGGGCTTTGTGGAAAACAAACCCAGAACTGTGTGGAAAGAGGCCTGACCTCCTCCCAAACCCCAGCTTGGTTCACCCTCTGGAGCTGGCTCTTTAGCTCAGGGATGTAATTGTGTGTGCTTAGTGGCAAAAGATGTGTTTTAAGGTAGCCAAAAAGGTGAGTCAAAAGTTTGGTTAATTACAGTCATCAAGTGGATTTGCTTTGCAACATGCAAGTTCTCTGCATGGGGACTGAATCAGAGACACCATGTTCAGGAAATGAGTCAATGAACTGTTGGATTCCATTTTAAAAATCCAGATGAAATATGCTGATGATTAAGGCCTGTGGTGCCTTCACCTCATTTTTAAGGCCTCCTCTGTCTCCTCCAATCTGTAACAGTTGATCAGGCTTTACTTACATTTCCTATGTTGAGATTTTGAAGAGTATTGATTAGTTACTTAGTAGAATGCCCCTTGATATGGGGTTTGTCAGATGTTTTCTCATGATTAGACTGAAGTTATTGTGAAGGACTCCACAGAGATGCTGTGCCTTTTCAATGCGTCACGTCAGGTGGCACCTAATGATGGTAGGTGCTGATGGTGAGGTTACCTCTGGTCACTTGATTAATGTGATATCTGCCAGAATTCTTCACTGTAAAGTTACTGTCTTTCTCTTTGTAATTACCAAATATTTTGGTGGAGATCCTTTGAGACTGCAAACATTCCTTTTGGCTTAAACCTTTACGTCATTAATTTTAGCATCCATCCATGGATCTTGCTCATGGCAAATATTACTTTGGTTTTACAATACACACATGCACACACACACACACGCATTGAGGTGTGTTATATTCAAACTGCAGAAAACAAAAGACAAAGAAAATCTTGAAGGCAGCTAGAGAAAAAAGGAACATTACATTCACAGGAACAAGAGAGGAATTACAGCAGATTTCTCATATGAAACCATGCAAGTCAGAAGACAGTGGTGTGCCATCTTTAAAGTGCTGATTTTTACAAAATACCTGTCAATACAAAATTCCGTATCTATCAAAAACACCTTTGAAAAACAGAGACAAAACAAAGGCTTTCTCAGACAAACAAAAACTGAGGTAACTCACTGTCAGAAAAAGAAATGTTAAAGAAAGTTCTTTTACATTTTTAAACAATGGGGGGAGAGGGAAAATCTTCCACACAGAAGAATTCCAGTTTGTAAATGTAGGGGGAATCACGGAAATAGAAAGTTACCCGTAGAACACCACAGAAAATAATTTCAGACCTTAGTCTAGAACCACGGTCAATCTGAATCCCAGCCAATTCATACACAAAACAATTATTTATCCCTCTTATTCCAGAAAAGATTAAGAGCAGTTTGAAGCTAAGTGTCCTGCCTACTTCTAGCTTAGAAATCTACAATGTGGTTATGAAGGTCAAAATACTCGAATTATGAACAGGTAAGACTTAAAAACCATAAAATGCTAGCAAGATACAAGATATTACTATAGCCTTTCTAAAACATTTAAAACATTTTGCTATGTCAAATAGTTCAATAGCCTCAACTGATACTGAAATAAAAAGACTCAGTGGGAGAGAAAGAAATCCTTTGGGGTTTGTGGTTTGGTATGACACTATCACCGGGAGCGGCACCATTTAATAATCAAGAACCATCCTTGAAACCATGTGGCAAGTGTTGGGTACCAGGTACAAGAACAAAACAAAATCTTTCACTGCTGGATGCAACATCCCCTTCGCCCCAGCATGTGGCCCATCAGTGCCCACTGTCTGTGCCTTTCCTGGGGACTCACAAAGCCTCTCCTGAGGCTCATCTCATTTGAGCCTCTCCACAGCTTTGCAAGGTAGCCAGTGTTGTTACCATTTCCACATGGGGCACAAAGAGATCAACACACTTGCCCAACTTCTCCCACATTGGAACTATCAGGGCTGGTGTTCAAACCCAAGTGTTTTGACACCAAGAACTGTTCTTCACCATGTGGTTGGCCAGACCTCAGAAGCCACGTTTTCTTGGGTATTTTGTTATTTGGATGTTGTTGCCCCAAATGTGGGATGGGTACCAATGATTTGGGTAGAACATGAGATGATTTTAGGGGCCCTCAGGTGTGAAATTAATGAATCACACAGGAAGTTATTGCTTTTCCAAGACTCTTCCAGTCCTTTTGGTTACATCACAGAGAAAATCCCTGCTTGATGCTAGCGTGTCTTTAACACCTTCTTATACTAAACAACTCGCTTATACTTCCTGGGAAGCTGAGGTGACCATCTTTCCTCATCATATCTTGAAACAGAGTCTCGCTCTGTTGCCCAGACTGGAGTGCAGTGGTGTGATCTCGGCTCACTTCAGCCTTCACCTTCCAGGTTCAAGTGATTCTCCTGTCTTAGCCTCCTGAGTAGCTGGGATTACAGGCACGTGCCACCATACCTGGCTAATTTCTGTATTTTTAGTAGAGACAGGGTTTCACCATGTTGGCCAGGCTGATCTCGAACTCCTGACCTCAGGTGATCCACCTGCCTCGGCCTCCCAAAGTGCTGGGATTAAAGGTGTGAGCCACTGTACCCAGCCTTTCCTCATGATTTCTGAAAGCACTGTGTGTGCACCACTCTTATCTTAGAAAAACAACAGCTAGCATTTTTGAACACTGCTGTCATCCCCCCAAATGCATCTATGTATATGAAGGCCAACATGTTTTGTTCCTACTGTGGATGATTTATTTACTTGGAAGGTTATAAAACTAGACTTGTTACAGTCTCAGAAGGCACAAAGGAAAAGCATCAAAGCCAAAAAAAAAAAAAAAAAAAAAAAAGCCAGATTTCATTATCTGGCCTAGAATGTTTCTCCAGTCAAGACACCAAGATGATGCTCATCTCCATGTAGGTCAAGTTCCCATTTCCTTTTTCTCTGAGTCCAGTAAATGCCTGTTTAATTAGGTGTTTGTCCTCTACTGGCCACAATGAGCACTCATGGAATCTTAGTTAATAAAATGAGCCTTTATTAAATTTTCAGTTTTAATAAATAGTCATCATCTTTGCATTGGGCCCCCAAGCCCTGGTAAAAATGAAATGGTCTACATGACCATTCAAAGGGGAAATGTTAAGCTATGCTCTTGAGTTAACAAAAGTGAGTCTCTCCCCCTCCCACACCCCTACGCCACCATCTGGCTGCAGTTTAAAGGCCTGAAGCTGAATTTAGTTTTCTTATTACATTGAGGTCCCACAGATGCCACAGTCAGGCATTAAAGCCTTAAAAATAAAAAGAAGGAGAAAACAAAAGACAGAAGCAGGTGTAAAGAGTAGAACAGATATTTTCCCTATGCAGACACCCCTGGCAGGTCTGCTCTGAAGGAAGCCTGGCAAAGAGAAAGCCCTGACGGATCCCCACACGTTCTCCCCGCTTTTTTGAATTCATCCATTCAGAGTTCTAGGGAAAAATGAGTCTTCAGAATTTTCATTCCCAAATAAAGACCAGAGAGAGCTTCAGGAAATCAAGGCTTAAGTAAAACCAGTCTCCCCGGGCAGCTAACACTCTGAAACAAGATGAAAGAAACAATGCCATGTCTAATCCTGCTTTTGTGATTCATTTTGAAAAGAGTGAATTCAGACTTAAAGAATAAGGATCAGGAGACAAGCACTGAGGCTTCAGACCCCCCCATCCCTGGAAGGTGGCCGTTGGCTGGAGCCGAGATCAGATTTCTAAAGATGGGTGTGCGGAGGCTCCCAGGAACAGCTCCCAGAAGGAACAGAGCCAAGGTGCAGGGCTGAGCTCCGCCCCTGGGTGGCAGCCATCTTCCACTCTCCCCTGGCCTCCTGCCCAGCTTCCACTCCTGGCTTCTACCTGTCCCCGCTAGTCTCTGCCAACCTGTTGTTCATAATTGCGAAGGCTCCCACCCCCGCTGAGAATTCATCGTCCCGGGCCAGCGTGCCGGTCTGGTGGGGGCAGCCGTTGGCCATCTCAGACAGCTGCTTCTGCAGGATGGCCAGCGAGGCCTTGTTGGCTGCCAGCAAGTCCTTCATGGAGATCATCTCCCCCGAGAGCCGGCGCCCATCCGTGTCGCTCTCTGCCACCCCGTCTGTCTCTATGGAGATGTTGCAGCGGTTCCGGACGCTGCCTGGCATCACCACGTTCCTGCGTGATCGCAAGAGTCCTCTCCGGCATTGCGGGCAGCACCCGCTGTCCATTTTCCTCAGAATCCAGTTCAAGAACTGTTTGATGAGGATGGAGATGACATTGAACAAGGAGTAGATGCAGCAGACGCCCATGAGGATGAAGACGAAGTTGGCGAAGCGGTAGAGGCCTTGGCTCTCATACTGGGCGTTTTGGCTGCTGACCAGGTCCCCAAAGCCAATGGTGCTGAAAGCCACAAAACAGAAGTAGAGTGAGTCAAAGTAGCTCCAGCCTTCAATGGGGGTGTACATGGCCGAGGCACAGCAGGAGATGAGGACAGAGGCTGTGCACAGGATCAGCATGACATAGTACACGGAGGGCTTCCAGCCGGCCAGGCTGTCCACCTCGCACTGCCCTGCGTCCTTCAGGCTCTCCTGGGGCAGAGCCCCTCGTCTCCGGAGCTGCCGCTGGTGGCACGACTTCATGATGTAGGCAATGACAGTGATCAGGCGCTCCAGGAAGAGGTTGAAGAACAAGATGGTGCTGGAACACCCAATGAGGCCATAAAAGATCAGAAAGATTTTTCCTCCTACGGTCGCCGGAGTTGTCATCCCAAATCCTGCAGGAGACAAAAATGAGAGAAGAGTACCAGAAATCTTTCTGTGAATGGGGTCTGGGTCTTGGCTTTGATGGCTGGCAAAGGACCTAAAGAGAGAGTTTCATAAAATCACTCGGCCCTAGTCTTTCTAGGAATGAGCAGAATTCTCTTTTGAAGACACGAAGTGTTGCTCAGAGTTAGGCTACTGAAACCCTGTATGGTGCTATTGTGCAAATCAGGAGAATAGCACCTCATGCTCATGATGGACATAGCCAGCAAAAAATGGCTTGGTGATGAGAATGCAGGCTGGATTTCAGCCTCCCTTCCCACCTCTGATAGATGTCCTTGTACAGTCCACAACCTGAACACCCTTACTCAACAGACTACGTTTAGAGAGAGAAGCAAAGGCTCATACAAAAAAAAAAAGGCTTATACAGACTTGCAGGAACTCATTTATTCTACAAGCATTTATTGACCTGGGGATAGAACTGCGGAAAAGACAGATCTGGTCCCTGCCCTCATAGAGCCCTAGTCCAGTGAGATGATTATATTGTGTGATAATTATGGTGCCGAGGGAGTACAGGGTTCTATGGAGCTGCTAAGAGGGGAATCCATCTCAAACATGGGGTTTAGGAAAGATGAGGCAGGGAGACCCAAAAGCTAAGGAGGCGTTAGGCAGGCAAGAAGGCTGTATGTGTGTGGTGGTGCTGGGATGGGGAAGTGGGGATGTTCCAGGCAGAGAAACGGCAGATGCTAGCATATATAGAAATGAGAAATTTGCTCAAGATCTACCCATCTTTTAAATGATATTCTTCAAATACACACTTCATGCTTTTGGAGTGACAACAGAAGTATTGGTTGTTATACTTCAATAAACTGTAAAACATCTGTTTTGCCTTTGCCTCTAACTGTTCACAATTTCCACCCTCCTGACCTTTCTACCTGTGCACAAAGGCATCCTGGTAAGAATGCATATTATAGAACAATGCATTTTACTAAGAAAAACAGAAATAGAAAAGAGAGCAGCAATACACTCAAGATAGCTCATGAAAGGGCAATGAGGGTCAGCCCACTTTCACTGGAGGGGTGAGGAGTCTTTCCAAGCAAATGATTCCGTAAACATGAGGTGGCTGATGGGTTGTAGGGGGTTGGCATCAGAGTCACTCTGACTGCAAACACCATTAAAAAATAAAAAGAGCTGGGTGTGGTGGCTCATGCTTATAATCTCAGCACGTTTGGAGGCTGAGGCAGGTGGATCACAAGGTCAGGAGTTTGAGACCAGCCTGACCAACATAGTGAAATTCAGTCCCTACTAAAAAAAAAATACAAAAATTAGCCAGCTATGGTGGCATGCACCTATAATCCCAGCTATTCAGGAGGCTGAGGCAAGAGAATTGCTTGAACCTGGGAGGCGGAGGTTGCAGTGAGCCAAGATTGTGCCACTGCACTACAGCCTAGGCAACAGAGCCAGATTCCGTCTTGAAAATAAAAAAAATAAATAAAATAAAAAGAATACAGAACATGTCTCCCTGAGTCAATTTCTTATTAAAATCAAACCATCAAATCTCTTTCTCTCTCTCTCTTATTTTTTTTTAAAGAGATGGGACTTGCTGTGTCCCACAGGCTGGAGTGCCATGGTGCGATCATACCTTACCGCAGAGTCGAACTACCAGGCTCAAGTGATCTTCCTGCCTCAGCCTCCCAAGCAGCTGGGACTTCAGCTGTGCACACCATGCCTGGCTAATTTTTAAATTTTTGTAGAGCTGAGGGTCTTGTCTTGTTGCCAGGGCTGGCCTTGAACTCCAGGTCTTAAGTGATCCACCTGCCTCAGCCTCCCAAAGCATTGGGATTATGGGCATGAGCCACTATACTCAGCCCATTTTTTCCTTATTTTCAAGTTCAGATTTCTAACTCGGGTCCCATCATTTGGATCACAGGAGCTCTCTCATGATCCTCCCTCCTGATAATACCCCACCCGTCACCAAGCTAATACAGTTCCTTGTTGCCACAGCTCAGCCAACAACTGAGTGCCAGTGCATCCTGGCAAGTGTTCAGGCCAGACCTTGAAATGTGTGGGCTTTGGGGGTTATGACCTCCTGGTCTACTTAAGTCAAGCCAAGGGGCCGCCTTTCCCAGACACCCAGGTGTGCATACTGTATTGCCATTTAAAACTAAATACAATTTTCCTTTCTCGGCACACAAGGAGCTGCATTTAGGGAAGAAATTAACAGCATGTAACCAAGAAACTAAAGGAAGATACCAAGTGTAGCTTTTGAGCGCGATGGGATGGAGTGGAATTGCCAGGATGATTTGGGAAGGGAGGATCAAGGGACAGGGAATAGTTTCATTGAGAATTACTTAGGGCCCTTCGTGGTAGAGAGAAAATCGGACCATTGTCTCTTCTCTGGGAACTCTTCAAAATCAAAGTCCCTCAGCAATTCTTGGCAGTGGAGGCTACAATGTAGACCCCAAAGCTGCAAAACCAGAGGGTACTGCTGCTGTAGTTACTAAACACAGGGAACAGAACACGGTGAACGTGCAGAAAAGGGGGAAACATTTATCTGGGGCCATTTATTCTAGAAACTGGATGAAGTCAATGAAAACAGGGAAGGCATAGAAACAGTAAGAGAGGTGTATGGGCTGGGGGAGGGTCCTTTCAGGCAATTAGAGGAGAACATTCTCAGGTGATCCTTGCCTGTTTTTGAGGTGATTTCGTCATTCTACTCTCAGAAAGCTGAGCAACAGGTGTTGCTATGGATTTGCTGCCAGCCACAGCGATAGCAATAATTTACTGAGCACCTGTTAAGTTCAAGGCCCTGCACTACATGTCTGGGCCTCTGCCATGGTCTGAGTGTTTATGCGCCCACCAAATTCATATGTTGATATCCATCACCCATAAGGTGATGATATTAGGAGGTGAGTATGTCATGAGGGTGGTGCTCTCATGAATGGGATTAGTGCTCTTATAGAAGAGGTGACTCATTCATTCCTTCCTCTGTGGGAGGACACAAGAAGTTGCCATATATAAGGAAGCAGGGCTCTTGCAAGATTCTCAACCTGCTGATTCCTTGGTCTTGGACTTCCAGTCTGTAGAATCATGAGAAATAAACCTCTACTGTTGATAAGCCTCCCAGCCTTTGGTATTCTGTCATAGCAGCCTATGCGGACCAAGACAGCCAAACAAGATGACATGGACATAGTCCTTGACCCCAGCATCCAAGGCTGAGACCAACTATCTACAAACAAGCCACAGTGAGTCAAGGGCCAACACGGAAGCACCATGGAGTTATCTGGGTTTCAGGGTCCGGAATACAGCCTCACGTGGGCAGACAGTGAAGTGCTGAAGCCAGCAGACACACTTGACAAGCTGACTTTTCCAGTGAATGAGGTTTCTAGTGATTCTGTGACATGTTCCAGAGATTTAACATTTCTAGATTCCATCTTATTTATTTGGTTTTAGCATACTCAATTTTGTTAAAGGAGGGATAATCGTGACTTTTGGTTATCTACTGTTTGATGGATGACTGCAATCTCTTCAATCGGCAAAAATAACAGAAAATGGCACACATGTGCTACTCATGGAAGCAATGGGAGACAGCTTCTTCACGTCTGCAGTTAGAGGTGTGAGAGGTGGTTTTACTATCCTCAGTGCTGTGAGTGTGGAAATAAGCTAATAATGCAGGCGTTTCCACAGAAAGCCTCCCCTTTTTTGAGTCCCATAATGCTGAGAGTTGAGGATGGCTTAGATGGTGAATACTAACTCTCAGGGTCCTGTCTGATGGAGGAAAAGGGCTCAGGGATTATTCTAAAAGGCCTTTCCTCTGCCAGCCTGTGTGCTTGTCAGCAACTCCTCACACCCACACTGGGGAGCTGGGTATTATTAGTCTACTAGTGGCATTTGACAAAAGAGAAAAAGACTACAGAAGCTGATTGGTTTGTCTAAAGTCATAAAACCGAATCAGAACCTAGATTATCTCGTCTCCCAGGCCTGTGCTTTTTTCCACCTGACTATGCTAACTTAGTGCAGGTCTCTGTTGTCACTGTCAAGGGTACAAGCCACGGGCAGAATGGAGGGAAGGAAATTAACCAAGCGTCCATAGTTCTATGCTTTATACAGACACCTAGACTGCAGTGGCTGCCAAACCTGGTAGCAAAACCAGGGGCGTTTGGGCTGGCACCAGAAGCTAAAACTTTACCATTTCACTTACTAAAGCATATATTTCTGAATGTATGTAAGTCTCTTCTAACAAATGATATAATTACATCAGTTTAAAAACCTGTTATGCCCCATGCATTTCAGTCTCCCCATATTTTGTAGGCATACAAATGAAACTGACAGTCGCAGGCGGTACTTTTCAATACGTAATATATTCCCTGTGCTTCAAGCCTGACGTCATCGATTTGTGTTCAGCCCCTGAATCTGGGAGCGATCGAAAACCAAGGGCTCATGAGGTTGGCTTGGAGGCCAGTGAAACTCACAGCTGATTTGGTCTAGTTCCCTTAAATCATTTCAGACCTATGTTAATGTGCTTGCAATTTCTAGTGCAGATTCTGGGATCAGTCCAGGCTGTCCCTGGGGCTAGGAATAAAGCTACCAGGGACTGCTAAGGTTCCAGTCAACCCCCATGGAACACTTCACTGAGCCCATGGAGAGCAACCCCAAAGTCTTCCAGCCTTTTATGTATACACTGTCAACTACATATACTTTTTCAAAATTCAATTAAGGTAAAACATGTAAAACCTTTGTATTATGATATTTTTCAAACAGGCAAAAAGTATAATAATCTCTTATTTTCCAAATTATCAACATTCTGCCAACCATGCTTCTCCCATCTCACCCCACCCCAACCGCTTTATTTGCCGGAGTATTGTAAAGTTAATCCCAGACAGCATACCATTTCATTGATTAATAAAGACACATACTTAACGCTAAGGGCTTTATTTTTCCAACATAACCACTGTGCCATTACCATACCTAATAACATAAATACGCATCACATAATACCCAGTACATATTCAGG